TATCTCTTAAGTCTCAAGTTTACTGTCATTTAGGATCACCCATTAGACCACCCAAATGTTTTATGTCCAGTATTTATTAATTAACCATACACATACAAATACTCTTGGGAGAGTATTTGAAATGTTTGTAAATGGGCTGAGCAATGTCACCAAAAAACCCCCAAACAAAAACTCCTAGATTGTTTGCTTTAAGTAATATTTATTTTCAAATACTTCTTTCTTGCATGGAGGACTGACTTTGTTAAAGAAGGCATTGAAATGGATAAAATTAAGCACTTTTTAAAACAAAAGAAGGATAAAAGCATTTAGTATAGAATTCAGTGAATTAAGCACAAATGTTTTATTAACTGTAAAAAGGTTTTAAGTTTTTGTTGCCTGTTACAGCCAGGACAGCCAAAGACAAGTTTATTTGGAGAGAGTGTGAGCTGTGGCTTTATAGGGTGTTTTTATCCAGCTGTGCAAATATTTTGCTCTACTTTTTACTTAAAGTAAAATACATAAGGTTATAATAAACTTTTCTGCAAATATGTGTAATAATTTTATAGAAGTAAAATATTGATTTAATGAGTTAAGGCTTATCATAGGTAATCAGAAGTACAAATAAAAATTTTAAAAGGTGAATAAAAAGTAAGGGAACTGTGCTGATTTGATTTGTGCCACCCTTCCCCCTTTCCTCTCATTTTAGGGACCAGGTGCCCCACTGACTTTGCAGAGGTGCCTTCCATCCTGATGGAATACTTCGCAAGTGATTATCGGGTGGTTAACCAGTTTGCCAGGCACTATCAGACTGGGCAGGTAGGTGAAAAAAATGTTACCATGTCCTTTGGCTGTTTTGTGGATAACTTGTAGTTAAAAATCATGAGGAACCAAACCCCTAAAAGGTGTAGATTGATGCTGCCCCTATCTTTCCGCTGTCAGTCATTTCTGACACCAGCTGCCCGCTAGGTACCGATGACCCAGAGCAGGAGTAGTTCTTACAGGTTCCCTCTCCTGTGGACTGATACTTGGTTGGAATCACTTACAGAACTCATGAAAAGTACTGCTTATGAGTATGGATTAATTATAGTAAAACATATAAAGCAGGATCATTATAAAGAAGTGAATGGATAAGGCCTGGGAGGGCTCCTAATGCAGGACTTGTAGATCTTGAAGAGGGTAACCAGGAACTTTTCAGCCTTAAGACACCCGGCTGTTGGTGACCAGTCCTCCATGAAAGGCTAGATCACACTCGGGCAGGTTGATGCACGTTCCAGTCCTCATGAGAGGTTAGATCCCACTTCCTGAAGGTGATCGATTGGACCTCCCAGTCCTCATGATAGGTTAGACTCAGCTTGCTCAGACTGGTTGAGGGACCTCACAGTCCTCCATGAAAGGCTCGATTCTGCTTTGTGAGGCTGGTTCATAGGATCTGCCAAATAGTCTTTTTCTGGTCCGGCCAGTTTTCACTCACCAGCCCTGATCTTCAAATATGACTTAAAGGCACCCCAATTACTTCAAGTGTTTGTTAGAAACCATTGACAAAGATCACCATATTTAAAACCTATCGCTGAAGGTTGACGCTACCTCATAGTGAGCCTCTGTCTGGTTTCCAAGGCTATATATAAATCTTACTGGGAAGAAACTGTCTTCTTTCTCCTGTGGAGAGCCATCCACAAAACAGTCCTGATCGCTAAATCTTCTTCATCTTGAGAGACCCCCTATGATTTATGGTTTCTAGAATTTGTTCCTCAGTTTTGCACA